TGTATGTTTCTGGAATTTTCCATTTAATACTTTCAGACCACCATTGACCATGGGTAACTGAAACTGTAGAAAGTGAAACTTCAGATAAAGGGGAACTACTGTATCACAATTTTGAAAATAGCACATTAAAATATACGCCCCGATTCCACCTCCCTCTCCCCCCAAAAAAGAAACAAAAACTGGTTTGGACATAACTCTTTTTGGCTAAATATGCTTGAGACAAGAAGTCACATTGAAAGCTTGCTTCATTGCAAAGACATATGCTGGCTTGGCTAAAGCAGGGTAATTATCAGACATTTAAGACTGAGCAGTGAGTTATTTCTGTTCAAAGGGAAAATACATCACAAGGAGGCCTAAATACCTGAACATGGTGACTGGCTTCCCTGTCCATCCCAGTGCTAATGAGAGCCTCATAGGTTTGGTTTATTTAGCAAATACCTTTTGGTGGGCTAACCTCCACATCAACAAATAAATATATGGCAAACTGAATGCTTTCACTAAACATGACAATATGGCTGCAATTATCATGAAGTTTGTTGGATAGGGAGTTGATTGTGGGTACTATGAGTCATTTGAGAGTCAATTCATTTTACATGTGATAAAAATTGCAATGTTATGGTGAAATGAAAAACCAAGCCATCAGTCTTCTTTCTTCATTCATCAAGACTTTGTGTAGATCCCTGAGATAGGAAGATTCCACCCAATAGAAATAAAAAACCAATAAGAAGTAAATGATGTCTCAGCAAAAAGACACTGGTGGGAATTTTCAACATCCCAGTCTGAAATCATTGTATCACACCAACTTGTTGGCAACATTATGAGTGAGACTCTCCAGTATTACCTTGAAATACACACACACACACACACACACACACACACACACACAACCCACACATACACTAGTGGCCTGGTGCATGGATTCGTGCACATTGAAAGGAAAATAGAAGAAATATTTTAATTTTTAATATTGGATTTTTGTATTCCACATAGTCCATGTACTTGATTTTACAATTTGAAAAAGTCAAAGACACTGGTCTTCATTAGGAATTTCTGCCTTAACTATACGATCAATGTTGTTTCTTCCTTAAATAGTGGTGACCAGACTTGAACATAACTATTTACCAGCCCAGAGAAGAGCTGTCAACATCCATTTATAGAAAAAAAGAAATGCTTCTAATAATACATTCTAAATTCCCATTAACTATGTTTACATTTTGTTTACAGTTGATTAATACTGAATTTGTTGTCCAGAAAATAACTTAGAATTTCTAATATGCTCCTGTATACCATGTTTCTCTCAACCTAGTCTTATGCAGTTGTTGTTGTTTTTTTATACAAATTCATATCCTTATAATTAGCCTTTTACTTTTCAATTTGTTTTATTTTGCTCATTCCTCAAATTGTAAAGATTCTCTTAACTGAGATATAATTGACATATAACATTCTATAAGTTTAAGGTGTGCGATGTGTTGGTTTAATACATTTATATATTACAATATGATTACCAGTGTAGTTTACTAACACCTCCATCACATCACATATTTGTGATTTATTTTTTGTGTCGAGAATATTTCAGATCTAGTCCCTTAGCAATTTTGAAGTATATAAACTAGTATTATTGATTATAACCACAATGCTTGGCATTAGATCTCCAGAACTTATTCATCTTCTAACTGCAAGTTGGTACCTTTTGACTAGGATCACCCCCCATCCCTCCAACCCTAGCCCTTAGTAACCACCACTCAATTCCAATCAATGATGAGGGAGACTCATTGATCAGCTGCCTCTTGCACACCCCCTACTGGGGATGGAGCCTACAACCTGGGCATGTGCCCTTTACTGAAATTGAACCCAGGACCCTTCAGTCTACAAGCCAACATTCTATCTACTTAGCCATACAGGCTAGTGTTAATTCACAATCTGCTTATGTGCCTTATTGCATTTAGTATAATGCCATCAAGTGCATTCCAGGTTGTCATAAATGACAGGTTTCCTTCTTTCTCATGCTATATAATACTCCATCACATTATAATGCATAAATAAAAGGGTAATTATTTTATATTTCCTAACTTTAAAAGGAAAAGAATGTTCTCATATCTTCCTTTTTAAAAAAAATTTGTCAATCATAGTGGACTATCCTATATAATAAAAAGCTAATATGCAAATCGACCAAATGGAGGAATCACTGGTAGCTATGAAGCACTCTGACCACCCCGGGGCAGACGCTCAATGCAGGAACTGCCCCCTGTGGTCAATGTGCTCCCACAGGGGAAGTGCTGCTCAGCCAGAAGCTGGGTTCAAGGCTGGTGAGCGTAGCAGTGGTGGCAGGAGTCTCTCCTGTTTCCATGACAGCACTAAGGACCCCTCGGGGGTCCTGAACTGCAAGAGGGTGCAGGCTGGGCTGAGGGACACCTCCCTACCCAGTGCACGAATATTGTGCACTGGGCCTCTAGTTATTTTATATTAGTTTCAGGTGTGCAGCGTAGTGATATATAGACACATATATCACTTGAAGTGATCCAGAAAAGACTGATAGTTGCTAAAGTAGATTTCAGCAAGGATTTAAGAAATAAATCAGTTTATATATCATAAATCATCTTCACTCTGGAATTTGCATTTTAGCTCACTACAAAACTATAGGTGATGGTTTTCCTCCCTCAGCACATGGAAAACACTACTCTCTTCCTTCATCTTCTAGCATCTAGTATTGCTACTGTCCTAACAGGCTATGCCCCAGGGGGAATAACTCAGCTTACTCCTTTATCTTGCAGTTCTGGGGTTCTATTGGAATGCATGTAAATGTGGCTCTATATTTATTTTATTGGTCCTAGGCAGCATGTCATGTGTTCTTCTAATGTGAGGCTTTGTTTTGTTGTGTTTTCTTTCAATTCTGGAAAGTTCTCAGCCAAATTTCCTGAAAATAATACTTCTTTGGTAATCCGTGAATTTCCTGCTTATGATAAAAATCTTATTGGGCATATGTTGGAGCCTTGGACAATGCTACACTGTACTTGTCTCCCTTGAGTTTCATCTCTTTATCTTTCCCTGGATTCTGGGCACAGCACCGTCTCTTATTCTCCCTGGGAAGATATTATTCCCTTTGAATATTTTTTATGACTATGTGTTTTTGTTTTTACCTTTGTTTTTCATTCTCTCCTCTTGTTTTCCTGCTTGTCTTATACTTGTTTTTATAATTCATTGTTCTCGTCCATGAGTAGCACCAATGTTCTCCTAGTCTTTCCTTTATCACATTGTTTATGTTAAATGTACGCATATTAAACTAGTTTTAGATGATTCTGTTTTTGTATTTGATCAGAGATGCAGCCATCTCCTGGTTGTTGAGTTGGCTCTCTATTTTTCACTGTTGTTTAGATTTTTCATTTTTAAGAAACACATCAAGTGAGAGGTATATTTTTCACTCTTACTCTTCATAATGTGATGCTTTTCTCTTGTCCCCACTGGTCCCTCAGAACCTTCTTTCATCAGCATCTCAGGATCCCTGCCCCCCCCCCTCCCCATCCATCAGTGGTTCTGGACAGGTCTCTGACCCATGTCACTGAGCCTGTGGGCTACTCTGCCCAGGGCAGGGCTGGATGCCTATGTCTGTGTCCTCTCCCTCCTGCAGCCTGACTCTGGATAGTGTTCTCAGCATCTTTTTGTGAGTAGCAGACCCACAGCCCCTGACTATGCAGGTGCACTAGAATCTGGCCTCCCAGTGGAGAGCTCAGAGTGGAGCACTTGATACCCCCTGGGGTGAGGGGCCTCTGCATCTTTTGTTCCCACACCTGAACTGCAAAATGTCTGTGGCTTTAGCTCTCGTTAACTGACCATTTTGTAAGTTTTCTGGGCTAAAGAGGTCCTATCTTGTTTTCCAGAATACAGTAGTTTTAAAAAGTATCTATCATTGCATTTAGAACTAAAGATGTAATGTATAAAGGATGAGGTCACAATGCCAAAATAACCTGAAGTGCTTTACATTCTCCACATGTATTGCTCTCAGTTACACACATGACCATATGTGTATGTGACTTACATACATTGCATATATCTGAATATACTGAAGCACCATTCAATAGAATTCATCCCTTTCCCAAAGAGGTCATAGTAAATTTGATATTATTGTACTAAAACAAAATTTTGTTTTTTTTATCCTCAACTAAGTCCCAGATCAGAGTTGGGCTTATTCATACAAATCAACTCACATGGTCTACTATTTAAGGTCACAGGTATGGTACTCGGTACCCCAATGGTTTTCTTGTTTGCCATGATATGTAATATAAGTTCCACCAGAGCAATTCTTGATTGGGTCCCTTTTTATCTTTTCACAATTCTCTACAAAATGAAAATATATCTGGGTGGTGGAGGGGAAGGAGGTGATGTGTTTGAAACAAGGTTATATAACAGAGCATAAGGCACGTGGCCAATATTATTAAGATTAGTCCAGGAAGGTGCACTGGAAGTGCCAGAGAGGAGATTGAATGTTTAAAAAAAAATGTGAGAGAACACCAAAAACACACTTGATCTTCCACACAATGTTACGTCATTAAAAACCTTGTATAATGGTTTATGGAGCCCCGTTAACCTTACTGTAAACATCAGTGGAGACATGAGAAGTACATACTCCCTCCCATCACTTAAAGGTGTTCACACTGGAAAGCAGATGTAATCATTGAGCAAAGAAGGAAGTTAAAAATACACTTTCAAGCCTCATATTTACCTTCCCAACTGATTCTGATTAAGTGGCAATATTGTTGCTATGGTTTTATGCAAGCAGGTCATGATAGAAGTTGGTCCCCAAAAGCTTTTAGGATATCCTCTTAAAACTCTTCTGGAGAAATTTTAATTTGACAGCCCAGGCCTATGTGTTTTCACCTTGTCTTCCCTCCCTCACCTTTTAATCAAATTATGCTTTCTTACTTCCTTATCTTTATTGTGATTTTTTTCCTCCCTACCTTATGTTTTCTCTCTCTTTCAGCCAATCCGGGACTACCGTAGCTGAAATGCGAAAGAGGCAGCAGTCACAGAATGAGGGAGCACCTGCCGTGTCTCAAGCACCTGGAAACCAGAGGCCCAACAACACGTGTTGCTTTTGCTGGTGCTGCTGCTGCAGCTGCTCCTGGTACGTCCTGTTATCTGTGAGATACCCTAGCTGTGTGCGGCCATAATGTCATGTCAGTTCTAAGGGTCATACAAACATCTCAAGCTGTCTTCTTCCTTTAAAAGTAAAAAGTACTTGAGAACATTATTACTTTAATGCTAACCTTTCTATATGCAGAATGCATTTCCTCAGAATCTATCCTTAAATTGATAGTAAGGAATGAAAAATGTATCTTATATCATGGGTGAAAGTAAGATTTTGGTGGTATATTTATTTAACAATAAACGGTGTTCTCCAATGTTACAGAAGGCGCAAGAACATTGAGTTGCTATCTAGTAGTACTGGATGTGTGTGTTTTAGTTTTATGTTATTGTACAGGGTGTTGCTCATTCAGTCCCAGAGTCAGAAAACTGAGTCCGGGTGGCCGCCTCAGCCTCAGAGGCCCGACAAAGGCAGGAGAAGGAGTGTCGCAGATGCATGCTGACAGCTCTACAGGCCAGGGGCTATGATGGGCATGGAGGCCACGTCGGTTAATTAGAAACTCTACACTCAGAGCCAGAGAATCTGCTTTCCGTTGCGATTTTATCACTGACTGGCTCTGTGACATTCAAGTTGTAATCTCTGCTCCTTGGCTTCCTTGTTGGCAAAATGATGAAGAGTTACACAAGTTGAATCCCAAGATTCTGTCTAGTTCATGATTCAGGCACTTCAAAAAACCTGCTCCAGTTCCAAATTCCCAAAGGTTCTTTAAATAAGAAAAGCAGTAAGACCCCGAGTCCCCAGATTTGTGCAGATGCGTCTTCTCAAGGAGACGTTAGACTAACGGAACTTTCCAAAGAACTATAGGTTTCGAAGTCCTCTAAGAACCAACTCACAAGGCGATCTTCTGGGTGAGCAGTGGTTTTCTGGAACCACCCCTCTCCCCTTCCCCCGAACTATTTCAAACACTAGAGAAAGGACCAAATGTCTGTATGATCTCCACTGGTTCCCAGCATCCATTCGGGTTATTGTTATGATGTAGTGGCCTGATGTTCTAGCACTGTGGCCAAAAGTAGAAGATGAAATGTGTCCCAGTGCAGTGGTAAACTTGGTGCAGAACAAGCTCTGGACATCGAGAAAATTTTGTTGCAGAAAACCATCAGATATTGTGACTTGGAAGATTTAAAGTAGGTGTTATAAATATCTAAGTTGCTGCCCAGATGACAATTCTTTGTTAGGGAAAGTAAAAAAATTGTTCCTTTTATTCCATTCTTAAGCCTTGACTATTTCAGATGGAGGAAATAGAGTTTTAGAGGAGAGAAATATTTCAATAAAAACGTAATTTTTATTTCTGTATCACTCTTAAAGAGATCACCAACCTCTGGTCTTAACCCATGAAATGCAGGGGATGATGGCCTGGTGCAAATGAGACTTAATATGGTGGCTCTGAACTTAAACTGCCTGGGTTCAAAACGCATCCTCATCCATCACTCTCTGCTTGACCTTCAGCAAGTTCCTGAATGTCCTCAGATTCCTCATCTGTCAAATGACAGTAGTAAGAATCTCTATCTCATAAGGTTTCTGTAAACATTAAATGAAATAAAGCACTTAGGAGTGGAGAACAATGCTTGACACATTTAAGCATGCATTTAATAAGAGTTATCTCACTGGGCTATTGAACACTTCATATTGGAAACATAAAATCTCTTAAAAGAGGAGTTGGTTTGAAATAATGTATGAAAAAACATCAGCTTGGCCCTAACCAGTTTGGCTCAGTGGATAGAACATCGGCCTGTGGACTGAAAGGTCCCAGGTTCAGTGCCAGTCAAGGGCACGTACCTTGGTTGCTGGCACATCCCCAGTAGGGGGTGTGCAAGAGGCAGCTAGCTGGTCGATGTTTCTCTCTCATTGACGTTTCTAACTCTCTATCCCTCTCAATTCCTCCCTGTGTAAAATCAATAAAAATATATTTAAAAAAGAAAATATCCTTTACACATGCATTTTCAAAAAATTATTTTTTTTATACTTTGAGTTGAGGGGGGAAAAAACTCGCAAAGGCTTATTAGAGTGAGAAGGAACAAGAAAGAAAGAAATGCTCTTCAAATTTTCCAGGCTAGGTCAAAGGAGCAGAACAAAAAGAAACACTAAAAAATGTAATTTACGGACCAAAAAAAATGTTAGAAATCAAAATATGAGTAACTGTCATTTGTAAATAGAAGCAGTTGTCATGTAGCTGGCTTTTCCTCCTTTTAAGGAAAGAGAGTGCTAGGAAAATAAATGTCTATATCTAGTAATAAATATAAATACCTCAACCTAGGCTCACATGTTATATTTGAAACAATACAGCATTTCCCTCAAATTGCATTTCTCATTCATAGTCAACTCTTCTCCTATGTTTAAAGTTATCCCTTTATAAAATTACCACCACACTTTATTGGGGGCAGAGGGGATAAAACAGAGAGAAAGTGCATAGCTGCTGAATATTTCCAGTTTCCTTCAAAACTGTAAAAAGTAGGGATTTGGGTCACAGTGACTGATTAAGTTGATCTGCTCTCTGCTCCTGTCCAGGGGGCGCTTCCTTCACCAGATTGGTCTCTCTGTCTCCTTCTTCTCCTCACAGCCCTTGTTTCTGGAAGAAGAAAAAAAACTAGGGAATGAGGTGTAGACCATTTTACCTGTGTTACATACATGGGTCATGGGAGCCTGAGTCTTGGCCACAAATGAAGACTCTACATTTGCAAATTCTATACGGTAGACCAAGCTTTTCCTGGAGACGAGGTAGTTTAGTCAGGACTTGTCTACAGGTTCAAGGTTCATTGTCAAAACCTAATGTTCCTCTTACATCAAGATTCAAACAACATGACACCTCCTCTTCAGGTGGTTAATGCTTTTCCCCTTCTTCATGAGAAAGGAACCTTTGCAGGATGAGGGGATCCTCATGAAACCACCGTCATGGGGACAGTGTGAATTGGGAAGGCATTCAGACAGTTGCTCGTGGAGGACAGTGTGAAAGCACCTTGCAAATCAGAAACTGCTGTGTGCTCACAAAATAAGGTGCCTCCATGAAAGGCAGAGCTTTCAAAATGCATTATGAGCTTAACGCTAATTTCCAAATTGTCCCCAGGTCCTCTCCAAATATCAGAGGATACATTAAAATAATCCAGACTATTCTTTTTTTTTTTCTCCCAAATAAACGCTTTAGATGCCAACCCATCCCTGTTTTAATTCCTTGTGGCTCCTAGTGATGTCTGATCGAGCAATAAAAAATTCACATTCAAGAGGTTTCAGCTACTCTCTCTCCCAAATGTCCCCATTGACTCTCAAGCTGCTTCCTGGGGGTGAGGAGAAAGTTCTGGGGGAGTAGGGGTGGGGAGACCCACTCCTTGGCTGACCACTGTCCTGGGCTCCCCCCGCCCCGTGCAGTTTCCAAGGGAATTGTTCTGTCTGTAACTATTTTACATATTAGAATTAGCTGTGAGCTTTTGTTTGGAAGAAAAAAAATACCCTCATTAAAAAGCTGGAAAATGCTACATCAACCTTCACAGAGAAGGACACGGAAGGCTTGCTTCCTGTCCCCAGGCCTGTCCGTGAGAGAAGTGGGGCTGAAATGCAAGTCCCTGAATACCCATCCCTTGTTTTGTCCACTTGAAGATGACACTTCCACATTTTTCATTTCCAGATTTTATCTGAACCATGCCCCTAGCAAACTCTTCAAGACGGACATCAAATACAGCTTTTCCAATCAAATTCACTATCACATGCACTAATGTACCACTCCTGTGCTATTTGGCCCACATCAGATCTCCTTCATCCTTCTCAGGAGAAGTTGGTCGCAGGCTGAGTTTAGTAAAGGATCCCTGTGAAAGCTCCAGGCATCCATCCCCCTTTGAACACATTGGTTCCCAGAGTTCCCAGACCGTGGATAGGCCCGACTCTGCAAATGTTAAACTCTTCATAAACATGCGTTTGGTTGTCCCTCTCTCCATTTATAACAATCACTGCAGCCTCTATAATTCAAATCTGCAAAAATAACGTCCTATTTTATCCTCTGACGCTGTCACATTTCAGCTCTCTGCCAATGGAAACACGACGATGCATGCTTTAAAAGCCAGAGGATATTTTTTGAAAGGAAAAACAAATCCCACGTCTGCTCCATGGTAAAGAAACCACCCTCTGGAAATAAATCTGCTCACACAGGCACGATGAGTCATTCCGTCCAAAGCACTAGTGAACGGAGTCTCTTCCCATACCTGTCCTCCTCAGAGACCCGATCCGTCCCACACAGGAGCAAAACTTAGCTGCATAGGACTCCACAGCACTTGTAACCAGATCACCATAAATGCCATTTACAAAAAATTCTACAGTTTTGAAACGCTATCTTGCGTGGCATAGATAAATTTTCTTTTCTTAAGTATATATTTTATTGATTTTAAAGAAGAATGGAGAGGGAGAGATAGAAACCTCATTGATGAGAGAGACTCATTGATGGGCTGCCTCTTGCACACTACACACTGGGGATCAAGACTGCAAACTGGGCATGTGCCCGAACCAGGAATCGAACCGTGACCTCCTGGTTCAGAGGTCGACACTCAACCACTGACCCAAGCCAGCCAGGCTAGATACATTTTCTTAATAGCTTCTTTATAAATTTTTATTTATTGACTGTTAGAGAGAGACCCAGAGATTAGTTGTTCCACATTGGTTCCCAGAGTTCCCAGGCCATAGATAGGCCCGACTCAGTAAATGGAGGCTGTCCCTCTCTCCGTTTATGCATTCATTGCTGGATTTTTATATGTGCCCCACTGGGGATTGAATTTGCAACCTTGGCATATCAGGATGACACTCTAACCAACTGAGCTAACCCAGCCAGAGCTCCTCAATAGCTTATGGAACTTACACAATCAAAGTTATTTCGAAACGCCATTTCACCATTGCATAGATAAGTTTCCTTAATAGTTTCTATAACTCTCACAATGACATCTACCAAAATGAACCCAGGTTTCCCAGGCCGTGTACACAAAGCCAAAAAGTGGACATTAAGA